GCTACTGCGCCATAATCCCTAAAACAGAGCATCTTCAGGAGCAGGATAAACAGCTAAATATTGACTTCAAGATAAAAAATGTCTATCGACACCAGGGACCAGCACTTATGACGCTGGCTCACGCTGAGCTCAGCCCAAACCCAGAGGCATGGTTCTGAGATCACGTGTCACACTACTGGAGCAAAATAAAGCTTATACGAACAGTGTAATTGCTGATATGGAAAAGAAGAGTATGAAAATAGAGGGCAGAAGTTGCAATAAAGCATATTAGTTATTTATGCATTCAGTACAAGCCCTGTACAGGCGATGGAAACTGGGAGGAGCGGTAGTGGAAATTATAGGGTAAGCACATCTTAGGATAGTCCACTCGAGCAATTGACTGAAATCTGGCAGTATGGCTCTCCCTGGATTCCAGAATCAATACCTCATTGCAGTAAGAGGTTCTCACCTTCTAGACGTACTGCTTGAGGCTAACAAGTGCCTGTATTAGTTAACACTAAAGCCATAGCTTCTGAACACTTTAAATGGGAACAAACCAGCCCCCTTTCATGGCCATGCCATCATCCTCCTTTTCCTCCCCAAGTTTCCTTGCCTCCCCACCACTCCTTTCTACAGCTGGCACCATATTACCATGTTACCACGTTTTGAACTACATCCAGAAAAGGATCTAGTTAAGTAAGTGATTAATTTCATCTATTTTTAATCAAAAGAGGGGTTAGCTGGCAAAGGAACAAGCTGCTGGAGACAGAACAGATAAGGGAAGTCAAAACGGCTTCTTTTGGGAACAGCAGTAGCGTAGAGTTTGTGATGCCAGGATGTTATAACATGATCAGGAGTCCTTCCTCACCAGAAGGAGGGCAAACATTCTGGTTATAAATTTAAATCTAGCTTGCATGCATTGAGCAAACAACAGTATTATTTCAAGCCTTTGCTAGTCCTACCTGTCTGCTATGCTCCTCTGCCTTGCCATGACAGAAGGAAACATGTGCCTGCATCTCAGTAGTTCCAGTTCCTCCCAATACAAATGCACCATCACTGTGAGGCTGATGCCAAAAGAGAGGAAGAGCAAATAGCTTGGGGAGGGCAGCCCTAAACCACTGCTGGAAGATACGTAAGAGGCTTCATCTTCCCCCCTAGCAACTGTATTTCTTACCCAGACTGGAATCTCCCATCATACTTAGTATTTGCATTTCAGGACGCATTCCCACTGGCCAAGGCATTTAAGTTTAGCTCCAGAACAAAATAAGGAGTGACCAGCTATTGGCTTGTCTATAATACTTGAAACAGACCAAAGAAATATATAGTAGTCATTCGCATATGGAGTCGCTTGTCTAGAAAAAGCACACTATAAATGAGACTGGGCAGCAGTACTGCTACGTTTGTCTGCTCCAACCCCATCACTGAAGTTTATGAAGCAACTAATTTACGTTTAGGACTCAGCCATATTCAGTAATCCAGAACACAGGCACTGTTGACTTTACTAATAAGATTATTCCTCTAATGTCGACATTACTCAGCCATTTAACACAAGTCTGCTATTCGAGATGGCAAGAGTAAACTAGGAGATGCTGATTAGAGGCATATGAAATTACACTTCTAGCAAATAGTATGCTTTCTTTAAGATTATACAGGATGTTCTATACAACTATTCACAAGACTCAACGTAGCCATAAAAGCTTGTAACAAGCAATGGTTGCCTCCTATTTGTTCATTTACATCTTAAGGCAGACAATGGACCTTACTGCAGAATGACACTGCACAGACTATATTCCCTTTAGCAAACATGACGACTGGTAATCTTTAAAGAATGAAGATTTTTACAACACAGACTTCATTTTACACTAAGTAAAACCCCTGAATAATCAAACTTCATTTTACGCTAAATAAATACCCTGAATAATCAATATTCTGCTTAACACAAAGAGTATCTGTAAAACATAAGGCAAGTACAGGTGATAAAAATTCCCCTTCATGGAACTACACTGCTTTTGTAAATGTAAAGTTTTACAACACATATTGAGATACAACACCAGACAGTGGAGCAAAGTACCAGTTGATAAGCACCCATTTATAAGTCAAATGAATATCTGATAAGGGGTAGGCAGAACAGGTACAGGTTTAGCCAGAGGTAAATATTAAAGCAACTGAAAAGAGATTTCTAACAGAATGGTAAATGTAACTGCCATTCGAACATTCTTCTCTTTGTTTATTACAACTGTACAGTGCAGCAAATGTTTAAGTTTCGGTGTTTGGTCAACAAGTCTCATTGGTCAAGTCAAAGGTTCCTTAGCCCTTTGCCCACAGTTGCATTCAGCTCCCATGTAAAATAAACAAATAAATAAAATAAAATCAAGGCCTGTTCACTGAACTTCAGATACCCAAATCTTATACAGGTCAAGGATGTTTTTGTTACCACACCCATTTTTTTTTAACCTCTCAATGCCCTTTGATCAAGGGCTGTTGTTACAACGGCGTAGGAAGAGCTTTGCTACAGCTGATATTATCTGCAGCACTAGCAGCAGAAACCTGAAACATTCATGCTGCCAGCTGACACAACACTGGGTTTCTGCAAAGCACTGCAGAACTTTTAGAATAATTTTAATCTGCATAAAAACGGACCAAAGAGGCAAAGACCAAAATAAAACCTCTGTTCTGAGAATTGAACATTTCAGGTTCTCCCTGGTGCAAGATGAAAAAATGGAAAAAAAAATAAAATAAAAAGAGGCTGTGATCATTGCAAAACCATTACAGCAAAGGTGTTACTATGCTAATATCTAATATAATGTGCTAAGCGATTTAATATTGTGCACAGTAAGCCTCAACACATGAGGGACATTAGTAGTATTACTGAAAAAAAAGAAAAAGCAAAAAGAAGCAGAGAACACCGATGTTTCCCCTTCTCTTTTTGAGGATATATTTTCTGTATTCTTACACAGCACTTACCCCTAGAGTATTTTGCATATATTCTCCTATTGCACTAAGCTGCAGTGCATTATGGCTCCGCAAATGCTGGCTGTTTCAACTTCTTGCCAGGGAAAAAAGCACACACAGACACAAGCCTCTTCGAAAGAGCTACCTTAGATCTTCTTAATACATCCATTGCTTTGCTGAAAGTTGAAGGAGGCAAGGTCAAATAAAAGTTCCTTATATTCAGTGCAAGTGCAAAGGTTCGTTATCATTCTTACTTGTGGAGGAGTTTAATAATTGTAGACCAAACATGTCTCCCTCACAGGAGAACGCTCACCTTTCCAATGTTCCATTTCACTGAGATGAGTGATGCATTTCACCATCATTATGTATAAACTTCCCCTCTTTATGAATATTCAGACTCCAGCAAAGTTAAAGACGAAATTTGCAACAGTATAAAATAATTGTTTCCAAGTTTGTGCTCAAATCCTGTAGAGAACCGTTCTGGGATATAATAAAAGTAATTTAGTTTTATCAAATCACTTCCATTTCACATCAAATCTACAGTCCACACGTATCATAGAAGCTTACAGTCAAACATGAAGAGAAAGCAAATGCCACAAGTCTCAAGCCTGTTCATGTTCAACCTTCTTTGACAGAAAGATGTTAAGAATGTAGAAATAATCTCTTAACAAACTAAATAATTGCCCTTAAATGCAATGGGCTAGGCTTCTAGAGTTAGTTATCTAACAGGTGCATTTTCTTCCAGGAATTCTCTCACTGTATACCCTGAAATAATATTTGCAATAATCAAAATATACCTTGCACAAGAGGTTTGAAAAAAGCTGATTTTATCTCTGTACAAGTTTCTCACAGCCACATAAATGACCACCCAGTTACTAAGGAAAGAGGATATATCAGAAGGAGAAAGCATTTTGGCTCAAACCCCTCCTCCCCCACAAAACTGGCATTCAGATTTTCATGTAAAGCAATCTACATGTAACTATTTAAGTTCCCATATTTTAATGAAAGACACAAAAGTCAGAAATCTTTGCAGAGAACAAACAACTGGCAGAGACTCTCACATTCAATCCAAAATGAAGTATTAAAGATGTCGCTTCTATAGCAGCAACTTGATTCCACAAATTTCAGTTGTTACAGCAAACACAGTCATCATTTATTTTTTATATTTTGATTAAAGTTACCGGACGTAGGAACACTTGTCTTAAAGTGAATAATACATAGTGACTAATGACAAATATAGCCTCTTCAAGTGATATATTGCAAGATTTCTGTTTTTTAAACAGAATCTCTGCATTGATCACAAAAATCAACACCTATTTTAGAGACACTGATGAACACAATTGTGTTAACATTGTAAGACAACACAGTATGGATAGAAAGCATTTTAACTGGTAACCGAAGGATTCTAAGTTTCACCTTTAACAGTATAGCATACTACAGAAAGCACTGCAATATACACCACAGCTTTTCCTTCAAGATTTTGCATGTTAAATTGTTGAATCTATACTGTTTTCCATCACTGTATGTTAAAGCTTAAGTTTACTATCTCATTATTCTATTATACAATTTAAGTTGCAGCCAGCTTAACTCTATTATGTCATTATACCTGCAAACAATTCACAACATTCCCACGATACGCCATATTAGTTTGAAACATTAATAACAGTACTCTGCCTTATTTTTAATTCTTTTCAGAGAAATACCTACTCTACTTAGTCTTTAAAATCATTGCTGAACACTCAGTGTGTGGCTGAACAGAAATAGTGTAGAGCTAACAGCTACCTCAAGGGTTACTGACACAACTAATGATAACAGAGATTTAAATTACCTTCTCCCCAAATTCCTCCAGAACAGAAGGATTTTGAAACATGCCCTCTCCGCCCCTTTCACTTCGAAATAAGTATTTTTTTATTCACTTCTAACTGAGATTCTTCATTACTTAATGCCTGTGCAAATGGAGAATTTGTCTTTTATACCTCCCCTTCCCAAGAGACTGAACATTTTCAGGGCAGTGAGTGTTTTCAGAGAAGAAATTTACTATGTACAGCCTTCAAGTTTTAAATATAAACCAATGAAAATCAAGGCACTCAATGCAGTTATGTATGAGCAAAAAAAATTATATTACTGAGAATAATAAGCCCAAGTCACAAAGCGAGATTATCAGCGAGTGTGCAACTGGGAATAAGGTGAAATCTCATTCTTTTACAGCTTTGGTTTGAACTTGCCAGAAAGAAGCGTTTTAAGCATTTCAGAATTTTTTCCTTCTGGTGGTGAGGGCCATCTGTCATGATCTGAGGAAAACAAATAAAACAACATACTTAGTTGATTGAGAAACTACGCGTTTTACTTTTGTGTCCTCCTATTGCCCAACTTCAGTCACTTGCAGGGCATTATTTTGTAGCCCATTTCTTACCGGGTATTTCTAGGGTATGGCTATATAAACTTTGGCCACCATCCACGACCATGGTTATCCCAGTTATGTAAGAAGCAGCTGGAGACAGTAGGAAACACACTGCAGGAGAGATCTAACAAAAGAATGACAATTTTAATCTTTCTTAAACTGCTGGGAATTGTTCATGTCAAAGACACTTGTAAAAACTTTTACAGGCGAGACATCGCAATGTTTTCTACTCAGTAATGAAAACCATAACAGTCTTAAAGCCATCTTTCCAGCCACAAACATCAAGTACATAACAGATGTAAACCAGTATACTCTCAAAGATCAGCATCAGATGCCGAAAATCAAACAAAAAAGTTGACCAGTTTATCAAAGATGCACATTCTTGGTGGAAGAGCGCTAAATACTTTTAAAATACACTTTTTTCACATTAATACTCATTCTTTCAGTCCTCCCTGCTGGAAGTCAACCTTTTCAGGAACCAACGTCTACTACGAAACACTTCGGCTGTAAGAGGCATCTAAATTAAATTTGCAGTATAACAGTGACTATTGGTTAAGTCTCCCACTTGGCACTACTACACATTACTACAAGCTTTTTTCTTTTTTAATATTCCATCACAGTGCAAAAATAAGTCTTTTTTGTTCTCCATATAATATAGTGGCTTCAAAATAGAGACACAGAAGTAGAAATATCACAAATGTTCTGAAATACATTACCTCCTCAGGAACTGCTGACCTCTTGGCAGGAACCTTTGGTATGCTCTTTAACCACATCATTGTACCTTGTTCTCCATAGTTTGCAACAGCAGTTTCTGAAAATACTATTCCCTATTTTAAAACAGCATAGTGAAAATTAAGTTCTCTTGCATATGTTTAAACTGTGATCATTGTAAAATTGTGAAGTTGTCATTACTAGGATTTTCTGTGGGATTAAACTATCTAAACAGCACTTGAATGCAAGTTTTTAAATTTAATGGAATAGTATAATTTATACAAGAAGGTAATTTGGCTCCTAGCCACATCTCGATTCAAGCACAATAATTCAGATTATTTCAATTCTCCACTGTCACTTCAATAACTATAAGTGGAGAGTATAAAGAAGAAACTCAAAGACTCTTTTGAAATTACAAGCATTTCACATTAGCTTACAGCAGAAAACTACAAAGCCCCAAGAACAAGTTCTCAACAGTTTCTTGTAACCTGTAAGAACACTAGATTGATTGTATTGTGAATTATGGAAGCAGACAGATTTCAGTCAGAATTCAGACTCTCCCTACTTAGCTGCTATAGAAATGGAAAAAGGTAACTGTCTTTGCTCTGATGATGATACAGTCCAGTTTAGACTTGAGAGGGAAGATGAAGACTACAGCAATGGGAACATGGGGTTACATAGATTAGTTATGATAGAACCTTTGGAATTCAAGTTTAAGTAAGACAACAAAATTTGAATTCATTCATGGAGTATATGCTAAGATTTATCTTCTAAGATATCTGTGAAATGTGAGTGACTACATTTTGGGAGCTAGGGAAGTAACTCATATGTGAAACTATTTTTTTTAGAATGCATGTTTCCCTCTCTACGTACCCATTCCGTACATGTTACTCTGCTCCTATGAAGCACTAACAGTTTTGTAGGGTTACTACAGACCTAGTGTATCCATAAAGGTAACAGAAGGATATAAAGTATTACTGCAACTACAACATGGATTTTTTGTTACCAGCATAGTAACAAAGCTAGAAAATACTTCTGAAAGAGCCAAACCACTGAAGTGTTTGCTTCTCAAAAACTTCTTGACATGTGCTATAAAGTATAACTAGTATGACTCCTTAGGTAATTAGCATGCACAAAAAATATATTCACATAATAATGCTGTCTTAATTACTTACTTCCCCAAGACCTGATAAATCAGAAAAAACAAATAAACAGGACAAACAAGCCAGTAGATCTTAACAAGTCTCCAGAGGAGTTGGGCCTTAAAGAGGCTATGTAAGAGCCATTACCTGAATGATCATCACACAGCTGCCATTAAGCATCCTGTGCTATGCCAAAGAAAGCGAGACAGATGTTTTAGGACAAGAGGCACAACAGGATGTACAGACATCCTACAAGGACAGTAGAAAGATCTTCCTAGGGACTAGTTAAACAAATCTGACCCTTAATTATACTGTGAGATAAGATAAATTCTGAATGTAGAAGTGGCTGGACAAAGTTTACCTTCCCTCTTCTGTTTCAAGGGAGTAAATGTGCAAAATAAATTGTGGTTAAGAGTGAAGGTTACACAAATCACAACAGACCACACAATCTCAAATGTCAAAGCTAGAGGTTCTACATAACCTCTATATCTGCAGCACCACACACTAATATAGCTGCTCTTTCCATACGGTTATTTAAAACAACTGCTACACGCTACCTACTTCCTCAGAAATGTGGCAGGCATATTTTAGCTGACCTGTATCGTGGTTTCCTGTCTGCATATATTTGATAAGAAAAAAATCAGAACACACATTTTTCCATATAATTTCTTCGAGAGAAGGTCCACTCCAAAGACAGTCTTTTTATGCCTAAAACTAATCTAACTTAACATGTAGAAGATAAAGGAAAAGACATTATGTGACACATTCAGAGATTTTCAAAATAACTTTGTAAACACAGGTAGAAACCATCAGCATACCTGAACCTCAAATAGAAAAAGTTTTGTGAACTCAGAAATAATGTAATCATTACTGAAACACAAAGCATTCAGTAATTTTATGTCAAGGGTTTGTAAGACAGGTCACTAACTCCTCCCAGGTATCACTTCATTAAGCTAGGAAAAAAACCAAAAGTGACAAGACAAAGGAGAAAGCAGAAGCAATTTTATGCCACATCTCTGGTTCATCATCCAAACAGTACAAAACACTCTCAAATGACCTGAAGAACGTAGATAAGGGAATTATTTATAAATAAATACATAAATAATCCACAAACAGTTACAGGCTATAGATTTTAAAATCCCTTTTGGTCTGAAAAGTTCTAACCATGAACATGTATGATGGCTAAGTTTAATCAGATCATTTGCCATTACTTACAGGAGCAACGCTGTTGATTCTTACTCCGCTGTGGGCCCATTCTAAAGCTAAAGTCTTGGTTAGGTTATTCACTGCAGCTCTAGCAGCTCCTGTATGCCTATTGAGAAAAGAAAGCAAAAGAAACACCTGTTCCCTCAGCTAACACCGCCCAATGTTAATTCTACCACAGCCTCACTAGGGTAGTCAGAGTAGCTTTCTATGGCTGGACCAACCACCTGAGAGAGATTTTCTAGTTTCTAAGTTTGACCATAACTTCACAGTTTAAACAAGCTATGCTATGATTTCCTGTCATTTCTGGAAATACTTATCATCTCCTCCCCAACGTGACATGAGGTCAGCTACATTCTACTGCCGAAGCAGAGTTACAAAATGAAGAACAACTGGAGGCAAAGTTCTAACTGTGTAAAACTATGAAAGGTAGGCTGCACAGGTAAAGCAACACTTGGAAGGACAGTGGCCTGAAAAATAATTTAGATCTTCTGACAAACAGGATTAAAAAAAGCCACTATTCAGAAATTACTGTAGGTGGATGGAGATAGAGACGACCATAGGCAGAGTGATCTCATACACCTTGCCGCTATAGGAAACTAGTCTGAACTGATTACAAGCTTGAACAAATGCAACAAAATTGCTGCAGTGATGAATAGTGGGACTCAGAGGAAATAGAGTTTAGTTCCTTTAGCCTAGAAAAACAGAGGAAGTAGATACAATAGCTTCTCAAATACCAGGAAAGGAATAAGAAAACCTTAAGAAAAACATAATAAAACCCAACTTATTCATATGTTTAGGCCAGAAATAACCAACCTCCAGGCAGAATATGAGCAAACAAACTTGACTAGTTTTATGTTCAAAATTAATACTTATGAAAAACTGTATCAGGTGACTTTTGGCATGAGTGGTGGCGGGACTTGTAAAGGCAAGTCTTTTTCAATAGTACATTTCTAAAACAAGTATCAATTCAACAAGAATTTAATTTGAAAGTAGTTTTGTCTATCCATTTACATCCACACACAACAGTTATTTGGGAAACTTTTTCCCACTGTTATTCAGAATTCGGTTTTTCATCGCTTGGTTCAACTCTCAAATATAGCTTCAGCCTATTTGCTGTGACAATTCAACCAGACTTAACCAGAGTGGAGACACTCAAATAACTGTAGCTTCAGCACCACCCTGTGGATCTCTAAATTTATTTTGTACTGCCAAGAACAAGCTAGTGAGAAAAATATTCTGCTGTTCCTTAAAAATTTTAAATTTTGAAAACTTTCAACCCTGAATCAGGACAAAGAGAGGTAATGTAACATTTGCTCAAATTATGTTTTTATATTTTCTTCAACAGAAATTCAATTTCAAATAAAAAAAAAAAAAGAAAAGGTAGTTTCAAAGAAGAAATTCAGATTTTTTTCAATTAAACTGTCAAAATGCAGCATTTTGACAACTTCAAACTTTGCTTTGAAAAGAAAATAACTGAAAAAAAATCATTTTCTGAGCATTGTTTCTCTTTCAACAAATTGAAACTTTTTTGGTGGAAAAGTTTCAAAGCAGAAGACCGCTGCTCACCTCCATTTTGAGGGTAAAGAAATTTAAACAAATAAACTACACATACGAATATGGAGAGGATGCTGCATTTTCATGCAGACAGCTGTGATCATTTGTGTCAGTATAAAAGAACTACAAACGTGGTAATATTTTTGTACCCATGAGCCTTCTCTCAGTCAAGAAAGGAGCAGAGCAAATAGAACCAATTCTCTGCATCAGAGACCTCCTCCAAGAAAGATGGCTACAAAGTGAGAGTAAAAAGGAAAATGAGAAAGGCAGGCATTATGTGACCTGAAGGACAAAGCCAAAACCTGGTAACATACTAGAAATGTTCCTCCTACTCCCCTGCTCCCAGTCCAACTCCCATAAATCATTACACCATCAAAACCTGTAAACTGACAGTAGAAAAGGAAAACAACAGGTGCCAAGTTCTTCCAAACCTTCCAGAAATTTGGAGAGAGAACAAGTAGAGGTTATATTTCAGTGCAACTAGTCCCACTAGCATACTATTTCCAGTGAAAGCTTCACTGGCAAGTCTTGCTTCATAGTTTCTTACAAACAAGTTGACAGAGACCAGAGATGTCATTTATTCCTGTAGTCTCTACTGAATTAATAAAGAGATCCTCACATATACAGCCAAGTGATACTATTGCTCTCTCTTGAACTAACTACTGTATTTCTATACTCCGCTGCTGCCCAGTGCCCACCTTTCTAAAATGAAGTATTTAGAAGCAATTAGTACTTCTAGGGCAAAAATATAGGAAAATGTAAAAATAAAATATATATTACGACATTCCAGGAAACCCATTTCTCACGGCAGCAGTAATGTTGACAATGACTCCTCCATGTTCCTGCATCCAGGCATTGTACACTGTATGAAGGAGGAAGATAACCTATAAATATCAGAAGAAATGCATACAAATGAACTTGCCAACTGGAAGCCAAATTTCGAGTCTTAACTCCAATTACACTACACATTTCCTGTGCAGATTTAGGTAAACAATCTGCTCTTTGTACCATAGCCTCACCACTGGATTGGTGAGATAACAGGTGTGGTCCAAGTAGGGGTCAATGTTTGTCAAGAAGCCTTCTGGTAGAAATCAAGATTTCATGCTTCCATGTAAATTACTTTCATTTCCACATTCCCAATGCTATATGAGAATCATTCATCATACTTAAATTTAACTTTAAATTTACATCCCTGATGGAAGAGAAATCTTTTCCTGTTACACACAGTGAATACAGGCCACAGAAGTTAAGTGGTTTTCCTATAGTCTTTTAAGTGAGTATCCAAGACAACTGACTCCTCAAACCCGGCCTTAACCACAAGACCATACTTGCCTAAATGTATGTTTGTATATACGAACAAATGTAACGTACAGTTTAATGTAAAGCTTTGGATGAGATTCATGAAAATAAATATCTACTGTCAGGTAAGTGTGTGAAAAAAGAAGGTAGGGAAACTTTACATTTCTTGTCTTCTGGTATTGCTGTAAAAAAAAAAAAAAAAAAAAACAAAAAAAGCGTAACGTTCAGTCCTTACCTGCTTTGCAGCAGTAGAAGGTCCCTGTCAGATTCGTGTCTATCACAGCATTCCAGCCTTTTGCACGGATGGCTTCAGAAGGACTTGCGAATTGGCCCCCTCCATTATTCACTAGGAAGTCAATCTTCCCATGCAGACCCAGCGTAGACTTCACCAAAGCTTCTACCTGAAACGATATTTGTTTGTGTGGTATGCTGATTAAGCTATATACCAAATTTCATTCTCAGACAGTATTTTCTCTTTCATATCCTTTTCACACATAAAGAGGAGGTACTGGCTTTCAGAGAGGCTGGAAGATCGGCATGACATGTTCACTCAGCCAAGAAGGATTGGGCTGAATCCGTGCTTACTTAGAAAATCTTCCTGGTTTAATGCAGCTGCTACGTAAAATACCAGCACTGAAAGAAGGGGATTTAAGCCTCTGAAGGTTTGTAAAAACAAACACACACAAAAGCCTGCTACTTAAGACCTACTAAGAATCTCCTGACATTTTTCACAAGGGTGGGGGTGTTCACATCAGATGCTGGAAGAGTTCCATATAAGGTAGCTACTTTGTTTTTCAGCTGACCCATATACCTGAGCATTTTAAATAGAAAACAGAAGTCATCTTGTGAAACTTTAACATTCTTATCTAGAAGTTTTGGACATTCACTAAAGCTCTGACATATGAGCTGGCAACAGCCAATCTTCTTACCCAGGCCAAGAAGCTTAGTTTGTTACCCTGCAAAACATAAACTCTAAAAAGTGCTGGAAATACTACAAGTTGTCTTTAGCAAAAGAAAGGTGAATATCTGACTGAGCAGATACCTTCTGTCTATAAGCAGGATGAATACTTAGGATTAAGAGCACTGGCTCTTAATACTCTGGCACTATTTCCCTTCTGGTCCTCTGAGGAGGTATTAACAGCAAATAGCAATAGGCATTTTATTCACTCACTCAAAGAGCCGTCAGTGCAGAAAAGGCGTGACTTAAGTCCATATGGAAGGAAAGAGATTTTAAGAATCTAAACCTAGCTCTAACACTGACCTAATCTGAGCTACAGGCTGTAAGCTAAGCCTTTTGCATTGTCTTCTGTTTTGGAAGTACAGCAGTTTCACCACACACACTAAGCACAAGAGAACTTCTGGAGGGGACTGTATTTCAAAGCATTCAAAGGTTTTACAGATACCAAAGCCGATGTATTTTTCCTATTACAAGATAGTAGTAAGAACTCTATAGCAACTGCTTAATAATTTAACCTTTATCTCAAGAAACAGGGGAAATGGGACAACATGACTGTTTCCTGCTTACATTACCTATCATAACTAGATACCATGCATCACTTATTCCTACTCAAGCATATATAAGAAGTTAATCTAGCATCTGTGGTCAAAGAAAACACAGACCAAAAAAATCCCCCAAAACAAACAGCGGGAGTGTTGCTGCTGCTGAAACAGATTTGTCTAGGGGAAGGATATCAATCAACCTTCCTCTGTATTGAGTTAGCAGTAGAAAACATCAGACATAAAAGTACAAGCAATGCACGATCTGTATCTCACCAAGAGTGTCACCACCTCAGTCTCATAAATAGTTGCCTTGCAGCTTTTGCTGCTAACAGTTCAGGATGGCTTAACAGGATAGTATGGATCCTGTAAGGATGCACCTCTCTGAAGAAGAAAACCTAAACAAACATATAATGATTGAAGCCTGATTGAAAAACTAATGCCTTAAGAAAATAATTTTGATACCTAAATCACCATCTTTGAGTTCTGAATGTCATCTTATTCCTCACATCAGTCACTGTAGCTTGTGGGATCTGAGGAAAAACTACCAAAAAACCAAAAAATCTGTGACAGCAGTCCCAAACCCATGACTTGTGACAACCACCATGCCACAAAGACTTCCAGGTTTGCTCACAACCAGAGAAAATTAAGTTATGTCTCACTAGGCAGCAAAAATTATGCTTTGCTCAACAATATCAAACTCTCCTCCCTGTTAGCCTGAGATTCTTGCTTTGAATATTGTTTCCCATAAGTATCTGAAGTATGGGCTCATTTATGGAAGAGAAATAGTTTCAGTACAAGGAATGTTTGAACAGACTAAGGCTACTCAGGCTGGGGCAGGGGGTGAAGAGAGAGAGACAAAAGGGAAAATGCTAAGAATTGTAAAAAAAACAAAAAAAAAACCCAAAACAACAAATGACAAATTAACAGAAGAAAAATCCACTGAGAAGAGACATTACAAGGAAGTTTTCAACAGGTGGACAAAACCTGCTATGACATATCAATTCAAAACGGTTCACATGCTGTATCTTAAGAAACTCTGTTGTTGTTCCTACTTGTCACACCATATTCTCAGTGCAATAAAAAAGAAAAAAAAAAAACAAAACCAAAAAAACCCGCATTTCAGTTCTGCTTTCCGAAAGCCAGCAAAGGCTAGCAGGCTCTGCAGTGACAGCTCAGATGGCTCCAACTGCAGCAATCTTCACAATGTCTTCTGTGTTGTAGAGAAAGCATCGTTGCAGTGCTTCTCCTAATTACAGTAAACATGGTGACAGCAGCCACCAGCAGAGTGAGAAAGAGGGTCTGGTAGAACACATTTAAATCACAGTGAGAACTAAAGAAGATTCCCTTCTATTCCTAAATAGTCAAAATCCACACGGAAAGAACTTCATAAAAAAGCTACTAAAGACTCTCTCTGGAAGCAAAGCAAAACCACGGGTAGAGGTAACAGTTTAGGACGTTCTTCTGAAAAAGACTGAAAAGAACAAAATCGGGGACTTAAGACACAACCAGAAGACCGGAGCTCTTCAATAAGGACCTTTTTTTGTGTGACTGCAACTCAAAAGTATTATGCAGTAGCACATTTTCACAGCTGAGATGACAGTACTTGCTGACATGGAGAAAAGCGACAAACGTCCACGTGCATTCACAGGTCACCTTGAACTTGAGTAAAACTCTACAGGCAAACTACCCACTATAGCGTGTTAGAGATTTGCTATTTGGGGACTACAACTAGTAGGCATTCTTGCACAGTGATAACAGGTATTTTTACTTTTTGTTATTGCTGTGTTATTTTAAAGTACGACAACAGGAATCTCTTATCCACAGCTCCCCACCAAGCCACAGTCTTCCACTGCAGGCTTCACACAGACAGACATTAAGTATTTATAAACCAATTGAGACTATGCTAAGCTATAAAGTTTACTGGAAAAGAAAAGCTACCAGTGAACTCAGACACAAGGTAAGTGCTAAACAGTACCCCCTTGCGGTCTGGTCCAGCAGCAGTTGTTGCTGGAGCTTGAGTATGGAAAGGGGACACTGTGCACAGAATTCTGAATTGCTGATTTCAAGAAGAGCAGTGGCCTACTAGATGTACAAGTTTTTATCTTCCACTTACCTAGATATGTCTTCTACTTATCTAGATGCCAGTTAAAGAAATGTTTGTCCAGAGTATATAGCATAAAGGGTTTACAAGGGTAAAAAGTTCCTCATGTCTGTCTTTCCCCCGTCAATAGATTTGCTGTAGCTCAACCTTTTAAGACACACAAACACGTGCTTCCCCTTCCCAACACCTAAAAAGAGAAATAGAAAGCTCTTTTCATAATGGAAAAAGGATGGGGTATCTCTCCTCCGCTCTGGCCACCATTACATTGAGGCACTGGAATTAATTAATTAGATCCTTGGATTTTGGAAAAAAAGCTTGGTTTGAAAAGACACACACACACATACACACAGAGCCGTCTGGCCTGCATCTCAGCAAGAGCAAACTGACCTGCTCTTGTTATACTCAACACATTATGTGGGCAGTGCTAGAAAATATCCAAATAATTAAAATCGCTTCAGCTGCATAATCACTAAGAAGCAATACTGATCACTACATACACTCCAGACCACAAGATAAGGGACAGGCGCACAATCACTGCTTCAGGATAAGGCCCCATGAAGACAGAACATAGAAACCTCAGGTGCTCTTACCGGCATCCCAGAACCCTCTACTCTTCCATCTTTAAAAACAAAACAGGTTTGTTATCCTTTACAAAACAGTCAATGGAAAACTAGCCAAAAGCAGCAGCAGCAAACTCGTGACAGAAATAAGCCTAACAGGTTATGCAGTGGTTGAAAATCCTCCATCAAGAAAGATTATTTCTTGAACATTAAATGAAAAGTAAGCTTTTCTAGAAAGCAAGAGGGCCTCTGAGGATAAAGATTAAGAGACTTAAAAATGTGAATTCATTAATCTATTCCCATGATATCTGCCATCAACCTCCTGGAGTAATTAATTCACTGCACCTTCTTTGACTTTTCCTAGGCCAGAAAGAGCTCTAAGACATATTGCACTATACCATGAGGGATGAATGTTCTAATGCTTGAATTTCACAGATCCGAACTAGGGCACACAAGAGGAAGAAGCTGTGTCATCTTCAAAGCAGGTCAGTCACTTTAATAATCACAATAGGAGGCAGAAAAAAAAAATAATCACCTGGTAATTTTGAAAGCAGTTTCATCTTTCTTAGATCTCCTCTATTCAAAGTTCCTCCCTTCAGTTTGCCTGATTATAAAATTAAAACCAGGACAAAATTCATAGGGGCCTTTAGAGAAATGCAGAATAACTGATGGAGATGGAGGGATTTAAAAAAAAAAAGACATGCTACAGTAAGAACAGATGGCTTGTTCCTACAGGTGATCACAGTGGCTTCCTTTAAGAGAAAGATTTACTCTTAAGAAAGGTTTCAGTGAGATGTCAAAGAGAAGGATATACTAAATGAATTATGTGGTTCTTCAGGAAGCTTCCTGGGCTTTGTAGCTTGTGATGGATAAGTTCTGACATCTAAGGAGGCTTGAACTCCTAAGTTTTTTCCCTTGTGAAACATTTACAAGGTCTTTCTCCTTCACACATTCTTTGGTACCTGGTATAAGAGCTGAGAAAGAGGATGTAATGACTCACAGGGAATACCTGTAGAGGCCGTCCTCTACCTAACAACGTGCTTCCATGAATTTCTGAGGTAAATACTCTTCACTCATACTAAGCTGAAACCAGACAATGAGTTGTAAAGCTATTAATGAGTAGTATACAGAGTCAACACAGTTGTAGAAATCTTGTTTCTTTCATGAGGGAAGCCAAAAATTTAAATGCCTTCTCACCCCATCTTCCACTGTAAACAGGAAGATACTCTTGTATTTGTGAAAATGCTGCAGTGAGTTATATTGCTGTGTTGCCTCTGCTCAAGATTTACCTCTTAGGCTAGAAAAATCCTTCACTACATCTTTTACCAATCCCTGTTGCTAAGACTCCAAGTCCCAGGCACTAAATGTTAGGTTAAAAATGGAACAGGTTTTGAAAGTGGATGTACGATGCTCTTTTAATAGAAGTAAAAGCCCAAAGGTATTTTTCCTCTAGTCTCTGCAAGACAATCAAGTGCAAATTAGAAAAAAGTACTCGCCATTGCTACTCTTAGCAAATATAATAAATAAGAAATAGTGAGCAGTGGGTTGTGGAAAATCTGCCACATCCCTCAGTTCTGACAGTTTTTAGCAGTGTAAGTTACCGATTGTTAATTTAAGTTTACCTAGCTTCAACTTACAAACACTAAGAACCTAAATGTAAGGAATTGCAATCCTCAATACAAATTTAAAAGCTGAAAATGTGATCCATACATTTCTGGTCCAATAGTAATTTTAGAAATGAAGTAACAAGTGGACAGGATTTAGCAATCTTTGAGAATCTCAGCATTAAAGAACTAATGGAGGAGGACAGAGCCAGAAAAACAAGAGCTAAAGAACAAAAATCACAGGATGTCTCTAACCAGTAAAAATATCTGGTTTTGGAGATGGGCACCTGGAATGGATAAATATTTGTTTAGTGGGTACACTTGAGTTCTTATGTTAACATGCAACAGAAATTGCATTCCTTATTAAAAACCTCCACAAAAGGCTTCTGAAATTTTCATAGTGTTTTTTTTCTAAATAGGACTTCAATAGAAAGAAGTAAGAGCAGCTGGAGAACTGAAGTGAGTCAAACTATAAGACTGAGTCAATGACTGAAAAATTCAAGACTGGAGTTTAATCTACCTTATTCCTCTGAACACACTTTAATAGACACAGATATGAAATTACAATAGTTTATGATAACTTCCACTGGCAGGAGACACCTGATGGAGGCTTCTCCAGTATCGTATGAAAAGTTCTAAGAAAATTCTGTTGTGTCTGTAAATGAGTAGAGCTTAAAATTAAACTGGAAGCAAGACAATTCTATGATGAAACTGCAGGGTAATAGCAAAGACAGAAGTTTCTCCAAGTATCAGCATGGCTACCAGTAACACAGAATAATGCCTAAACGCTTTACACAGCATTATAAAAAAGGCTTTAAAAGCACCTTCAAAAAAGTTTTCAAAGCCATCTAAGACTGTTTTGTCAAATATGTATTTAGCCACACTTAATAAACAGGAAGCAAAGAAGGAATGGTAGTTTTTTTAGTGGATGATTACCTCATTTCACCATCCAAGCCCTCTACCATCTCACAGAACACCACAGTTGCCACTAAATCATTTTTAAACTAATCCAGAAATAAGATTCACCTGCAGAAGGTTATTAAGCATGCCAGAGTACTTTCTGCAAGAACACTGACATGAAAGAAGGCTTAAGCCTTTTCTCTCTCTTTACCTCTTTTCTTTCCTGTAGCTTTAATCATGTAAGTTGCTCTCTGACATCTGTCATAAGCTATTATATCGCACTGCTGATGCTAGTAAATACAAACGTAAAATTCACTGGTAGGTGAAGTGACATACTGCACAGCTCCAGTGTTCATCTCCTTCAGGAGAGAAAGTCTAAGTATACCACTATAAATATTTTATGGTATTTATAGCTGTTCCATGAGGGAAGAATTTTATATTTGCTTTATGGTTGTATATTAGGATATTTCCAGAATCTGCATAGCTCCTGAAGGTCATTAATATTTCTTTAAGTTACACTAGAGTTTAACTGAGACTTTGAAAGGTTAAGAAAAATGTAGCAATCAGCGGTTACTGGAATATTTTCTAGCTTCAATAAATTAGAAGTCCAACCTGATGATGGACTTTTAAATGTTTAAATTACACAGATTAAAAAAATTAGGAGGTGAATGCAGACTTCTGAAGAACCTGGATTAAATACTTTTGCTCTTGATCTTCCGTTTTTTGTAACATGAAGAAAAAAAAAAAACTCAACTGGGATAGTAATAGAATTTGTAATGAGGCACACCTCAACTTGTAACCAAAATTGAAATATGGCTAAAAATAATAATATCTGTGGGGTTTTTTTTGCTTTAGTACAAGCAAAACTGACAATGCAGGGCACTTGAGTCAAGTCACAAGCATTGAGATTCCATGCTATGACTTCCTGTTTGAAGGAACTATTCTGAGGTCTCCATCTTCACAAGTAAACGCCCCCTCACTGCTGTCACAGAAATATGACACAGAACCATGCTAAGTGGGCTCCAGCTTGGCTGTAGAACATGCCAGTTTCAAGGCCTGCTTCTTCCAAAAATACCTGAAATATGTATGCATGGTCAGAAAAATATTTGCAATTACAAATGCTTTCTTGCTTAGGTGGCTAACAAGTGGTCTTCCCTTGGAAAGCACATCTTTATCTAGATCAATATGAGCGCTTTACTTCACCTTTCCCCTGATCTAAGCCACTTCTGAGAGAGCCAGAGAAGATCTTTGGAGATCTGAGAATTTATACACACAATATTTTTTTGACATGTTAAGCCCCAGAACAAGATCACTAGCCTTTACCTCTTCTTCTTTGCGGATATTGCACTGTATGGGAGTCACTTTGGCAGGACTCATGGAAGAAAATGTGTTATTCAGTTCTTCTGCAGCAGCTTTTAATCTGTCAAATTTACGAGAAGCAATAACAACACTGCAACCTGTAGAGACAAAATTAAACATCCTTCAGCTAACATAGTTAAAATTACAGTTATGCTAGTTTTTTAATAACATCATGGAGATATCTTGTAGGATGTGTGTTTATTAGTCACTGAGCAGAAGATAGAGTGTGGAAGTTCTTGCAAGAGAGAGAAACGACTGATGGCAGGTGCTTCTTAGCAACAAGATCCCACTGTGCCAGGAAAAGAACAATCAAAAAAATGTCCACATGGTTCCCTCTCCTTCCTGCAGAAGGGAAGATAGCCTGTGAGTTGCAGAGTCAGCAAAGTAGCTTTCAGACATCACTTTTGCTGCCTCTGCTCACAGCTGCCTCATTTATCAATTATGTGATTTAAAGATGTTTCAGCAGGTCTTGATTACAAAAAAATGCTTGCTCCTAAAACCACAAAAATAATCTTACTGTATGTCTGGCTGTAATTTTTACTAGTGGTGAGCAAATGGAATGCTCTGCTTTTTAACCCTATAGAGTCTGAAGGAAAGGATGATAGCCTCACGAGATTAATTCCTATCTGCAGACTACAGACAGCAGGAACAAAGGCTTCCCTGTGGCACTGCCACACACTGTAGAATCCTGGCTCAGAAAGGAGGGGAAAAAACTAGGCAGGAGCTCAAGCCTTCTGGTTTTTTCAGCATTTGGAGGCAGGAGTCATTCTACAGAGAAAAACAATGCAAGTGCCAAATTCATAGCAAACACTCACACTACAATCAGTCTAGTTTCTTCTGTCACACCAGCAGATTCAGGACAGCTTTAAGGCATCAACAATTGCTACTACACAGACTAAAACAGACCACACCAAACTAATTCCTAGTGCAAATCCAGTAGGCATGCAATTTCATATCATGCATAAGCAAATTACTAGCTTCCACTGCCAAGCGGGCAAGGTGGTCTTCCTCCCAGTTCCCACCTTCCATAATCTCAGCATCCCAGCAGAAGCCATCCCTTCCTCATACCAGCTCTGCTGCTCATCTGCTTTAACATAAACCAATTCAACACCCTCAAACAGCCAAAAAAAAAGGTTAACGTCTTGCCAGGCGTTTTTTTTATTTTGTTGCTATTTTACTGAGTGGAATTTGGCCTCTCATGTGATCAAACAAACACCAGAATCAACTCAAAATAACTAGTGGGAGTAAAGAGCAGCAAGCTGTTCATTTGGCTCAGGCTGTCTTGTGAAACTATACATAAAACTAAAAAAAAAAAAAAAAAAAAAAAAAAAAAAAAAAGAAAAACTAGAGGAGTTGCATTCTTCCAGAAGGAAGTGCTGCAACTACATAACCCTAGGAATGGGAGCTTCACCTTCAATCAGTGGCCATCTTAAAACAACACATGTAAAGATATTAGTCTCTGAGGTCTCCTGATTTTTTAAATTAAGAACTCCAGTCACTTGCACAACCACCTGATTAACACAGAGTGGAGTTCATAAAATGGCACACACAATTACTGATTAACACAAGATACTAAATCATAGTAGCACAATTGTATATCAACTTAAGTGCTTATTAATACACACACTGATATAGAATAAGGTTGAGTAAAAGACTATATTTTTACTGAATACACTAATTGGGGGAGGGGGAGATTCTAACTCATTGAGGAACACTTGGTACCTACTGTACAAGCTGACACTACTTCACTCATTTTTCTTCACAAAGAACAACCAGACCATTTCCTGATAGGGTCAGAGGGAAAAGGGCACAAGTTTCCAGATGAAAGGTTTAAATCTGTCCAGAAGGCTTCAAAGGAGACTGGTTATAAAAACAATGTACATCATGACTGGCATTGTCTGTCACTGCTCCTACCAGCATTCTCTGTCCAGCCAGACCTGCTCCAAAAAAATACAGCCTAAAGCACAAGGTATACATGGAAATAGTTCCCAGACATCTTCTTGTCAGGAGTAGCCAGCAAGTCTGCAGGTACGGAAGGTTACTTAGACAGACTTAAGCCATAGCTCTTTCTTCATTTTCTCACATGTGCTTTATAGAGATTTGCAGCTTTGTTTTCTCTTTAGGATGTTACGGACACACATTTTTGTTCTTTGTATTTTGCTTGAGAAAAATAATGCAGATCAAATTAAGTCCAATTTTAAGGTAACTGGGTAACATCATCAACCAACAGTGTGATGCTGCTTAAAAAGCACCACTTTAAGGCAGCATGTAAGGACATCTTAAAAAAAATACTTAGTTCCCAATAATACAAGGTAGCAGAACTAGCCCTCACTTCAGCTCCACAGAGCAAGTGGAAAACTGGTGCAACAAAGGCCAGGAGAGGCAGAGATGTCTTCCAGCACACAGTCTTAACAAAGAAAGCTCTTTATTATGCAGTGAAATGGCGTGGGGCACATTTCAACAGCGCAAACCACGGGGAGTGTGGCACTGTGAGGCATAATGCTACTGCTGGTACTTTGAAGACAGTGAATCCAATTATTATAATAAACATTATCCGAAACCAGCGTAATGCCGATGAACCCTAGCACTTACATTGAAACCTGCAGAAAAGGTGTCGCAAGGTGGATGACTCGGTAGACTACCTTTCACTCCAGATTCTACCACTTATCAGTAATCAGCACAGAAAGAAAACCCACGAAGTGCCCGCTGAAAATATATTTTAACTTCAGGTTATTTCTGTCACGAGCACCGAGAGAGAAGCACCGTTTCTCTAAGCTTACCGTGCAGACAACAGTTCAAAACCATACTACTCCATAAGACTCAGCTCAACCAGATAAATCCTCCAGTTAAGCAAGATGAAAACTCACTTAAGAGGGAGTATGAGAGAAAGGGTCCGGGTTTCATATAACCTCACTTTGACCACTGTGTTTAGAATAGCGCACCTTTTAAGTGCCAGCGGGTCAAAAGACAGCCCCACATTAACCTCACTTCGTTCTCCTCGCCATTCACTGACTCCTGTCACAACGCCGCACCCGCAAACTCCTCTCAGAGCCACCACAACCCCCCGAGCACTCCCTGACCCGTCCTCCGCCTTCACCTCACGCCCGGCCCTGCTCCCCCAACGTCCACCGGGGCTCGCTGCGGAGCCCTCCCGCCCCGCGCCCACCTAGCGCCAGCAAGTAGGCGGCGGCGGGCCTCGCGACGCCCGGGCGGCCCGCCGGGGA